TTCCCTAAACTAATAATAATTTTAGAAAAATGTTATACATAACCCTTAGGCTTATATATAAGCATTAAATACAATCTTAAAAATTGTTTAAATTTAAAAAATTATGACAAAAACACACTAATTATACTGATTTACGCGTGTTTTTATCATAAATTCTGAATATTATACCATTTTAAGAGTGTATTTAATGCTTCTGTGTAGCTCTAAGGGCTATATACATATAAACTTTATAATAATGTCTAAATGGAAAAATTTACTTGGTCACTAATAAGATTATCAATTATTTTTCAAGGGCAAAAGTTCCTTTTTAAAGACTAGAGCTAGAGTTAATTATAATCGACCCTTTACACTTTAGACATGACATACCGTCTATTCGTCTAAAGTACTCCCCCATCAGTCAATATAATTATTTAGGCCATCAATATTGTACGAAGTAATAATATATACAACAATTACAATAGCTAGCATTGTTGATTTTTAGTATAAATCATAAAATTGGTGTCCTATCAACCCAAAATTGCCGAAAATAAACAGCTTAGAAACTAATTGTTTGAAACTGAAAATCAATCCGAAATTGAACCAAACATATCAGTATAATATTGATTTGTATAAACTCATACTTGATATTGGATTGACCATTGGGGACTTGACTTTATATCAAACTAAATGGAATGCATTTTAATCCAATACTGACCTGACCCCTTTTAAAGTCAACACTGTCTTGTCTTGATGAAACTCATCTAAAATCGGCCCTTTCAAACCATCCATGACCCATTTAACTCGAAACATTTACAACTTGCTATCCTTTTAGCTACTAACCACACATTATAAGTTCTTAACTAGTTATAAGAATAGTATAGTATAATGAGACTATCTACTATGAGTAATTGATATGCTTAAGTAATTGATAGTTATCTACTCCCCTTCTCTAGCTATATCCCTCTTGTAAACCTTTATTAAGAGACTAGAGATCTTCCTCTAGCTACCGTGCAAGCGTGTGCATGGCCAACACAGGCTCGACTTGGGTGAGAGCATATGGTACGATGCATGCTTTCACGGGTGTAGGTGTGGGTGTGATTGTGTCGTAATCTTCACTTATATCCTCATTAATTTGCCCATTATTACTGTATGACTATAAGTTGATTTGTTGATTGATAGGCCTTATTTTTAGTTAAGGGGATTAGGGGAAGATATTCAACTTTAGGATAGTGATAATTCACGATCATATCATGACCCGGTTAAGATTAATTCGTTTTAATAGCTACTACTAGTTATCATTCCAATATCGATCGAGTACAATTCATCTTTAGGTTTTTATTTAACTAAAATATGGTACGAGAAAATAAAAGATTTCATGCACCTAAACCATAGGGAAAATTCAAAGTGCTGGGCCAGGTCCACTATGCTAAACAATAAACACACGGAAGCCCAGTATAAGTGGGTTTGTGGCCTGATTGGCCTCATTACACATGTCCATTGCTCCCAATAATACCAAAATTAGTTTTGATAAGCTTGTGAATTATTTGGGCAGCTCGCGTTGTAAGATTTCTTTCAAATGTTGTTTGTTAAAACCATCTCCATATGTATTTGCATAATATTAACGGCTATTTCACCAAATATCACTAAATATTTTAATAATTCACCAAATGTCATCAACCTTTTCAAAATTCACCAAATGCCACTGACAAACAGTGCATTGACACCTCGTGCCATTAATGAGGTCTACATGTTAGTTATCCGTTACTGCAAAATTACCATTTTGCCCTTTAATGTATTTAATGGCGCCATAAAGCACATTCACTCTCTGATTTGACCTATTCAATTAAAAAAAAAATTCCATCTTCTCTTATTGTTCTTCCTCAACCTCTCCCCTGTTCTTCGAGGTTTCACCATCATTCAAACGTTCAAATCTATGAACAAGGAAGAAGCGTACTGTAACAGCTGAACGACCTGCGCAACAAGATTCAAGCTTTAGCTGTTGTTGAATCTGGGCGAACCAAAAAGCAGTCACAAGTAGTGGAAGAAGTAGAAGGAAATCGCGAGTGGTGAAATTTTTTTTGAGGCCTTGGAGATAGCACGCAAGGTAATAATCTCTCTATCGATCTTCATTTCGCGTACTGATTCCAATTTGTTTTTGCAAAAATTGAGTTAGGGTTAGGGTTTTCTCAAATGATCAGTTTAATGTGCTTATTTGACTTGACCTTTGTGAATTATTGTTAAAAATCATGTTAAAAAACCTCATTTGTCGGTATGAATTTGGCAATGTGTGTATTGGTATGTTAGGGTTTGTGTTTTTCACAATATTTGAGTCCTTGAAATGAAATTTTGCAAGTTGATCAGGATATTTGGTTTGGTATGTGTTTGTTGATATGAATGATGTGTGTTGATGTTCAGTAAAGTCATATGTCATTTGTTGTTGATAGGATGAGTAAAGTGTGGCTTGATGTCCATTACAATGATTAGGGCTTTGATGTATTGGTTGAGGATACTAACATAACTAGTCTGATGGACTTGTATGAGTTCATGCTTGAGGATTCTGTCAAGCAAAATGTGATCCTCCCTAAGTAGTTTAGTTTGTTTGTACTGCCACCTAGAACTAATAGAAAGTTGGAGTTATGTGGGGATAGTCATATGCTGAACATGTGGGAGTGGAATGAGGGGGAAATAATAGAAGTATTCTTAGAGGAAAAGGAAAGTCCTAGTTTGGTGTTTAAGGATGCTGAAGCAAGTTGGAAAAAAAGGGTTAAGGCAATGGCTGAGAAGGCTAGAGTTGATCGAGAAAAGGCCTAGAGGATGGTTGAAGAAGAGGATGCTGAGAGGGAGCTTATGGAACAACAACGTTTTAAAGTTGAAGTTGAGGTTCCTATTGTTAACGCTGATGACTCAAATGTTGAGTATGTAAGAGTGTTTCACACTCCAGTAGCTGATGAGGTTTTCCCTAGGGCATCTCAGCTTGAGCCTGAACAAAGTACTCAGCCCTCAACTCCACCTAAACACTCTCAACCAACTTCTCCTATGAACCAGCCCAAAACCACATGTTCTAGGGAGAAAATGACACCTAGGAAAAGGAAAGGCACACCAAAAAAAGGCCAACTCAAAGATCCCAACCTTCTCATCAACCACAAACATCCCAACCTTCTCCTCAACCACAAACATCCCAACCTTCTGCTGAACCAACACCAGTCTCACCACCAGTTTCTCCTCAACCCCAAACAACACCAATTTCATCTCAACCCCAACCTCCCCCATCTACATCAGCTACATGTACTTCATCTCCTACTACACCTAAAAAGGGAGCTAGATCAAGACTTAAGGGATTTAGGTCAAAAAAGAGTGCTGCAAAAAAGGTTAATGCTAAGGGGCAAGGTGTTACTTTAAGGAGATCAGAAAGAAATAGAAATGGGAACAGAGCACCTACTGTTGATTTAAATGAGGAGAGGTCTGATGAGTCTGGTAGTGATGGTGATAGTGAAGATGATGATTACATACAATCTGGCAGTGTAGAAGATGATGATGAGGCAGAAATTGGTGACTTCATAGAGGATGAGACAGAAATAAATTTACTTCATGATGACATTCCTGACAAGCAATTTGAGGATTACCTTGATGGCAGTTCAACCATGGATAAGACCTATAAGAATGGTAAAATTTGTAGCTATCAAGAGTTTGGATCCATCAGATTAAAGCCATGGTTGATATTTGGAGACAGATAATCATTTCTTGATGTGTTCAAAGACTATTGTATAAAGGAAGGATTTGGTGTTTATGTTGACAAACAAGGTTAGTTGTGCAATTAAGACTTTGACAGGGGAGCATAGAAGTTGTGGTAGGATGGAGATAAACCCAGTAGTAAGTTTTAAGTGGCTGTGTAGACATCTGCAATCAGACATTCAAGCCAATCTTGACATTCCAGTTGAGTCTTTATAGAGACTCTGTATGGAAAGGTTTAGGGTTCAAGTCAAGAAAAGGTTGTTTTACAAGGTTAAGGCAATGTGCAAGGAGATCATTCATGGTGGTTTTAGAGAGGCATACTCACTATTGCCTAGGTATGCTGAAATGGTGAAAGAGACTAACCTAGGTAGTTATGCTCTTGTGACATGGGGTGAACCTAATGCAAATGAGCCTCCAAGATTCAAGGCTTGTTTTTTTTTCTTTTACTGCCCAAGTTAGGGGATTCTTGAGAGGCTGTAGACCTATTATTGGCATTGATGGAGCCCACCTAAGTGGACATTTCAAGGGAATCTTGTTAACTGCAGTTGGGATTGATGGGGACAATGAGATTTTTCTCATTGCCTATGGAGTGGTTGGTTCTGAGAGCATTGACAGCTGGGGTTATTTTCTAAGGAATTTGAAATGCCTTTTTGAGAGGATGCAAGAGAGATGATAGGACCTTCATCTCTGACAGAATGAAGGTAAGCCACCTGGAAACTAGTTTATTACATGTGATTTACTGTTTTGTTTTTTCAAATCTCAGCCATTAAACTATTTTCTTTGCAGGTGTTGACACAGCAATTCATGAAACATTCCCCAGAGAAACTATAAGAGTATGTTGCCAGCACTTGTACATTAACTGCAAGACCAATGGATTCAGTGGTCCAGCCTTTCAAAAAAGCTTTTCTAGATAGCAGCTGATGCATACAATGAGTATGTATTCAATAAAGCAATGCAGAAGATACACGAGTACAATACTAAGGCTGTTGAATACTTAAAGAGCTGCACTGAGATCTGGTCAAGACATAAGTTTGATCCTGCACACTGTTGTGATCATAACACAACAAATTTTGTAGAATCTTTCAACTTATACACAAAGCCCTACAGAGATCTACCTGTTCTGAAACTACATGAAGGTATTCACTGCCACCCATTAAATGTTGTAACTACTTGCATTAACGCAAGTGCCCTACATTATTTTGTTTTACAATTTTTGTGCATGCTATTTTGTAGCTATAAGGCAGTGAGGCATGAAGTGGATTGGCTCAAGGTTTGACAAAGCTATAAGCATGGGGGATATGGAGCTGCCTGAATATGCAGCCAAGATTCTGCAAACAAGATCAGATGAGTCTAGGTTATGCTATGCAACCCCATGTGGTGGTGATGAGTTTGAGGTGAGAGACCAACATGTGCATTTTCCCATCAAGCTGAACACTGGCACTTGTGGTTGTGGGAAGTGGCAACATTTAGGAATCCCATGCAAGCATGTACTAAGGGTGATTTACCACCAGAGGCTACAACCGGCAGTCTTTGTATCCCCTTGTTTCAAAGGGAAGGCATACAAGCTAACTTATGAAGAGCATATGCATCCAATGCCTGACCCAAGTCAATGGCCATCATTGAACCTGCCTAACATACTAGCACCACTGGTGAAAAGATTTGCAGGATGACCAAAAAAGCAAAGAAGAAGAGGGCCAAATGTAGCAAGTCAACAGTTAAGTGTAGCTTATGCAATGAGTTGGGGCACAACATGTTGACTTGTGCATCAAGGAAAAAAAGCGTTGCAACTGAAGCAAGCACATCAAACACCTCCTCTAAACCCAACAAGAAAACAAAGAGAGCAGCATGAATGAACAACCACTCAGTTTTTTAATAACAGCCAGTTTATCCATGTATTTTTTGAACATTAACAGAGTGTAGTGTGTGCTGTGTTGTCTAGTTTTTTTGACATATCCTTGTAATTTAAATAGGAAGCAAATTTTTGGGCACATGATTTGAACAGGAAGCTATTATATACTATGCTTAAATGAAAGTGTATTTAAATGCACATATGATTCAATTTCCTTCTTTATTAAATTTCATTGCAATTACAATAGTTCACTTCATCATTACAATCACAACTATTACACACATCAGTACCCCTAATTTCATAATACAATTGAGAACTTTTTGCTGATGCTTGATTTTCTTCTTTAATTGTTTCAATTCTTCATGCAAATTGCTTTGTCCTGAGCCATCCCTTACATAACATCTTCCCTTGCTCTGACCTTCTTCATTCATCTGAACTTTGCACCATTTGAAGCTATTACATGAATCACACTTATAATACAACCTTTGTGGATTAGATGTTGACTCCGAGCTTCTAATTGCATATTTTCTACCACCATTTCAAAATTTGTTTAGAACCTTGACCTATACATACTCATGTTTTGAGGAGGATGTGTTTGATATCAAGCTCATGATTATGCAAATAGGTCGGCTATGTGTGTTTTAGTGTACTATTTATACAACAAATTGGGTGCAACGACTAGATTTGCCCAAAAAATTCAAAAAAGGTCAAACAAACTAGCCGTTACAATGAGTATGTTTAGAGGTATATTGTGTAAAAATTTACAAAAGTGATGGCATTTGGTGAAATATTTAAATTGCTTAGTTGCATTTCATAAAATAAAAATTGCAATAACAGATAACTAACGTGTAGACCTCATTAATGGCACGAGGTGTCAATGCACTATTTGTCAGTGGCATTAGGTGAATTTTGAAAAGATTGATGGCATTTGGTGAATTATTAAAGTGCTTAGTGGCATTTGGTGAAATATTTGTAAATATATTACTGGATAATGTCAAAATTAAAGCATTAAGATGAAAATAAAGTAGATGGAGTTGTAAACACAAATTTTAAGTTTGTAAAATAAAGAGTCAAAATAAATGCAATAAATGTAATTTTTATTAATCTAACAATTTTGAGTAAAATCTCTAATATAATCCACCGATTCGATCTCCACGCCATGAAGTCGTTTGATGACTCGATCTGATGTTGTCGAAACTCTGGCTTAAATTCCTTAATGGATTATTTGATTGTTATCTTGTTTACTACTCTACGACTCTCTATATAAAGAGAGTTGTTTCTAGGGTTTAAGGAGGCTGAGATGGAACAAGTCACAAAGACCTCACTTCCTCCCTACTACCAATTATTGTAGGTAAAATCGGAATACATCGATAAGACCCCGGTAAATTAAGCCCTTTAGAGAGAGGAATCAAGAGATCTACGAGAGTTGTATCCCGCAAATTATCAATAAAAACATTGTTTCTGTATATTTTTCTACCTCTTTATTTACATATTGTAGGTTTAAATATCTATGGTTTACATGAGTACCTAATAACTTACCTAATCACACTACATACTGTAGATTGTATATATCAATTTGAATTTACTGATAATGAACATCATCCATTTTTCTATTGTTGCTGAATTACAATAGGACTTGACATCATTATTTTTACAGATAAAACACATCTAGAGCCGAACTAATCAAAGAACGAACAATTCACCTATGAACATATTATGTTAAATTTTATAAATATGAATATATTATGCTTGATATCTGAACATGCTATATGCAATGTTTCTTACGAATTGTTCATTCTTTGATTTATGTATTAAGCCTTTTTAAATTTATAATTATGAACATATTATGCTAGATATCTGAACATGTTATATATTTCTTATGAACATTTGAATTAGATCGATATCTTATATTTGAACATTAGTTAATTTGGTGTAAGGAATTATGAACCACAATTTATTTATAAGGGTTTGTCTAATTCGAGAAAATACTAAGGGATTTGTTGAGGTAAATATTGCTCTTTACCAACAAGTTAAATGCTCTATCTTGTTCTAGAATATTAGGGGGCTACCCCTCGAGTTACCGGTTTCAAATATTGATAACCTTGCTAACGTAAAACAAACAAACAAGGAAACTTTCCCAAAAGAAGTAAAACAAGTTAGATTGCTCAAAGAAACGAGTAGCTAAACATATGACAAAAGATACAAATGCACTCCATTTATGAAGGGATAGAGTCAGGTTTACAATTACACAAGTTGAAGGAGAGGTTACCTCCATGGTTATACAATTGGAAAAGACGAATGATCTTCAATAAATGGTAGATGATAAACTACACTATCGCTTTGCTACTAAACCAAGGGAAAACTACGAAAGCTTAAAAGAAATGAAATGCTTGTTGTTGAGTTGTTTGTTGATGCCTTCTTTCAGTCCTTGCAATTCTATTTATAAGAAAAATGGAGCGGTTATGGCTGACTCCCATAACTATTGTACGGTTATGCTTCTTGGCGCCAACTCTATTTTGAAAATTAAAATCATCTATTAGCCTTGTAATCCGGTGTATATATAATTGGGCCTTATTATGATATCAGCCCAATAGCTATTATGTTCTAATCAAACTAGCCTAAAGACCCTTCACTAGCTCTAGGATTTTTCCACTTATTCAGAGTCAAGAAAGTCAATTAAAAGTCAAAAATCTGATTTTTAGGTGTAACAAATGCCCCCTAATTTGGGTGGTTGATGGCGTTTGAAACCAACCAAATTATGACTCTTTAAACATAAATATAAAGCATTGTGTATGTCTAACTCTACAAATACCAAACACAGAATATAAACATTACTTAATATTTATAGAAGTAGAATAATTACAAAATTAGAGCATTTCAAAACTCATAAGTTTTGTATTGTGTATGCTCTTTAAAACAGGACTTAAGGCTAAATATATACATCGATATACTTATTGAGATGCCTTCTAGTATCCAAGATCATCAGGGAGCATCGCTACACGATTCTGCAATTCGGGATCATCAACATAACCCTCAAATTCATCATCGCTAGGCTCTGTAAGTAGCCAATTGATACTGTGGTGCTCAAAGATAGATTCATACCATAATTGATAGGCACACTTACACCAATTTCCATAGGAAATTGGAAGCAAGGACTATCCCTTACCCCAAAACGTACTATGAAGAATGATCGCTCTGATCTTTCTGGCCCATCCCATGCAAACCAACGCGACGTTCGCCCTGTCTTCTTTCTCGTCTAGGTGAGGAAGTATGAAATTTCTCAAAAGATCAAAATTGGCACCCACATGAAAAGCGATAAGCCTAGCAGGTCCATCTTCATCTTCCAAAATGGCGGGTATATCCCCCCATCGCTTCCTGATCCTCTTGTTGAGGCGATTTCTCTTTCTATTCCTGTAAATTCTCTTCCATTTGGAGTGCCTATCCATAGCCAAATGGTGGTTCGACACTCATTTGGGTATTAATAGATCCATGGAGTGCATTGTCAACATAAAACATGCTAACTCCGTAAACTTCCCATTAGGCCCAATGTGTAGCATTTGAATGGGATGCAAAAGATCTTCCATGGTAAATTCAAAATTCAATTTTAAGAGAGTGGTTGAAAAACTCTAACATATTGAATTTTTAGAGAGAGAAAGCAAGAGAGAGAGAAACAAAACTGACTTAATGAAGAAGGAAGATTTTGAGTGAAGTGACTACTCATTTTTATAATCACTTTTACGTCACTCCCTTGACGGTTAAAATCCTCTATTACTTCAAGTCATCATGGGGAAACCACGTAACTCTTCAACTTCTTGAAATTAGTTTATCCAAAAATCACATTAAGGGGTGTGAATTTGGAACTAAACCGTCACGGATTTTGTATAGTAAATCCCAATTTCAAGTTGATAATTTTACTGATCATTTAATTTTTATTGGGAAATTAGAAGTGTCTTTTCACTTAAATGTCAATAAATACGGTTGTCTGTCACTTGGTAAGTCGTGAAAATAATTATAATTACAACCATATATTTCAATTTTTTAGAAAATTAAAAATATATTTGTGTGGGTATAATCACAATAATCTAATTGTATCGCTTAATCAAAGAACAATTTATTTACAATTTATATTGATCATAAAATTTGAACAAGCCCAAGATCAGACATAAACAGAAGTTAAAATCTTCAAAAAGTCAAGACATGATAAAAAAAACATGCTTAAGTACTTAGTTTTAAAAGAACTAAGAACATGTAACAAATCATGTTTGAGTACTTAACTCTTTGGCCAAAAGTTAGTTCAATTGGACAAAAGAAATTAAACCAAGCAAACCCTAGCCTTTGATCAATCTGAAGTATGATTGGGGCTTCTAGGACACTTGTGTGCTGGTTCATACATATCGGAGGACAAATCGGAGCTGTCTCCTTGTTCAATTATCATCATCCTTCCCAAGCTTCTTGATGGAGACTTCTTAGCCCTTCTTTGTCGCCTCTTCCTTGAAGGCTCACCTTAAGCCCTCCTGCGCTTGTGGCTTTTCTTCCTCCTCATTGGCTCATTTCCTAACGCTAAATCAGGGTTAAAGCAAAACATGCATTTCCAAACACAGCTTGGCGATGAAATTAAACTCAACATCTTTTGCCTTTTTGGCATCCTTCTCCATAGCATCCCACTTTTCCAAAGCTAGCACCTTTAGCTCTTGGATGTCCTCCTTCCATCAAAACTTCTCTTTCTCAAGGAATCCTATTGATAGTTCATCTATATCTAGATCAACTTTTACTATCTTTCCCTTGGGATGAGACTCAACTATGCTATAAGTTGGACTCTCC